AATGTCGGATGACACCGTTATATGTGTGTTATACAAAAAAAAAAAAAAAATCCGTAAAAACATGTGGCAAAAATCATGATAATACTGAATATCGGGAGGTACTACACCAAAGCGTGGGCCAATATATACTATGTTGCGCCACAATTGGACCTAGACCAAATATGACCTACATATACTAATTTTCATACAAATCCGTAAAGAAGTGTCTCAAAAATCATCAAAATACCGATTATAGGGAGGTCAAATAATGCGGACGTCGTAATGAAAAAGATTTATTTCAGCCGGGCCGAACTTTTAATGCTCTCCAATTACGCTTTTAATTCCCTCCTCTTAGTTCCGTATTCACCTTTAAACCACAAATACCTGTAAGACCGTTTGCATAATGCAGTTAAATTAAAATAAAAACAAGTAAAAAAGCTGACCGACTGATCGACCGGGCTGAACTAGAAAGGATAAATCAATAAATAAAAAAATCCTTAGAAAATTCTGTTAAAATCTTAAAAATGCCAAATTTAGCCATTATATTAGGGTCTATTCTACGACGTAGACCTGCATAGGAAACTTTTGTCATAAGCCATTACAATATTCAAATGTGAAACTTGAAAAAAGACATCGGTGAATAATGTAGCCAAAATCATCAAAATACGGAATATAGGGGAGTACCGTTATATGGGGGATATACGATATTGTGGACCTATATAGACAATTCCGTTTCAGGGGTAAAGTGTTCACAAAGAACTCCGTGTGTGGATTTTCAGACAATACGATTGGTAAATGTTGCTAAAATGATCAAAATACCGAATATAGCGGGGTATCGTTATATGGGAGCTATACGTTATCGTTAACCTATATAGAGAATTCTCTGTCGGGGAGTAAAGTGCTGACAAAGAACCCCTTGTGACCATTATAAATTCGGAATCAATCTCGAAATATGTTACGTTGTTTTTTGTGGAAATATATTATTTTATTAATTCTTTTGCTTATGCTTCAGTCATTTTTATTTAGATTTATTGACATAAATATTGTAAAAATTCCATTTCGTCCTAATTTCCTATTATAAATGTTATTTGTCTATTAAAAAAGTTTATCGGTCGTTTTGTGATTTCTATTTAGTTTTCGTTGTCTTCTGGTGTGTTGTGTACAGTAGCTATTGGGACTATTTCACAGCATGAGGATTCACCTAAGAAATTTTCTTCCATCTTTACCGCAGACAATGCGTCGGCTATGTAATTTTCCTTACCGAGTATCTACTTGGTTTTATAATCAAACTCGTTTAGTCGATTTTTCCACCTCTGTAATTTCATATCAGTTTCTTTTATATTATCTAACCAAAGGGGTATGTGAACGCTAAGTATCTCGATCTTTCGAGAAGTTCCTTTTTAATTGCTGAGTAGTTTTGTTTGAACTTCCTTAGAGCTCGCTTGCATAACATGTAGGTTTATGACCCTGAAAAAGAACAGAACCGATTGCCATGTAACTTGTGTCAGTGTTAATGAAAATTGCTTATTGAAAACCGGGTAATTAAAAATGGATCACACATTATTAATGTTTTTTACTATTCGAAGTCAGCTTTATACTATTCCTCTTGGGTATCTATGATTTCTCCTTTCTTTATACCCTCTACCATTCTATGGTGGGTATATTCACATTGTCATTTCGTTTTTAACTCCTCGAAATATTTATGATAGACCCTATAGTATATATATTCTGGACCAGCGTAAAATTTTAAGACGATCTAGCCATGTCCGTCTGTCTATCTGTTTGTTCGTCAGTTTGTTGTAATCACGCTATCTTTCGAACAAATTCAGATAGAAGCCTTAAATTGTTAAATTCGTTGGAGTTTATTCTTAAGTATTTTTGTATGTTTGCTTTTTGTTTTGTTTGTCAACAATTCGCAAATAAAGAGAATTGTGAAAAAAGTTGCTGTGGTAGTTTAAGGTATTTTTATGATATCAAAGGAAATGTAAAAAGCTGCCTTCTAGAGGTTAATAATGTGTAATGTAATGTTAATAATGTGCGACCCCATTTTTATTTGCCCGGATTTTAGTAAGAAATTTCATTTACTACTGACAAAAATAACATGACAATCGGCGCTGTTCTCTCTCAGGGTGAAAAACATATGTGTTATTTAAGCCGACTTGCAATTGAAAAGAAACATCTTGCAATTGTTTGGGTCACTAAATATTTCAGGTCTTATCTGCTTGGTATAAAGTTCGTGATCTTTAGCGACCACATACCCTTTGTTTGGTTAGATAATATAAAAAAACATAATATGAAATTGCAGAGGTGTAACATTAGGCTAAAAGAGATGGATTATAAAATCATAAAGTAAATATAGTTAATCTTCAAGAATTCCCATAGTTGCAGATTGTAGTATATAAATAGTATGTAAATGGTATGTAAGATTTTTCCATTGAAAAATGTGGCTAAAATCATCAAAATACCGAATACCGTGGGGGTACCGTTATATGGGGGCTATACGATATTGTGGACCTATATAGATAATTCTCTGCCGAGGTATAAAGTACCCACAAGGAACTACTTGTGTGGATTTTCAGACAATTCCATTAAAAAATGTGGCTAAAATCATCAAAATACCGAATATGGGGGGTACCTTTATATGGGGGATATACGATATCGTGGACCGATATAGCCCATCTTCGAACTTGACCTGCCTGCAGACAAAAGAGAGATCTGTGCAAAATTTTAGCTTTCTATCTTAATTCGTTTAGACTGTAGCGTGATTACAACAGACGGACAGGGCTAAATCGTCTTAGAATTTTACGCTGATCAAGAATATATATACTTTGTTGGGTCTAAAATGATTATTTCGATGAGTTACAAACGGAATGACGAACTTAATATACCCTCCATACTTTTTTTGGTGGAGGGTATAAAAAGAATATTAATAAAAACTTACAATAATATAAACCTTTCAAAGTCAAAACTCGGAGTAAACCAAGTTATAGCTAACAAGTAAAAAACATTAAATCGGGCCGAACTTTTGATACCCTCCCCTGGGTAAGAGAAACATGCTTTTTTTAAAGTATCTGAATTTAATCGTGTTCTACTTTAAGCTACAAATACCAGTTAGATAGTTTGGATAATGCTGTTAAACTTTTCAAAACAGAAAAAAAACAACAATAATGAGAGCGCGCAAAATGGGAACCTCTGTAGACAATTATATACTTCAAGGATTGTCATCTAACAAAAATGTTTTAAATACCAAATTTGAAACAACTTTTTGGGTTAATGTGACTAGCACTTTCAAAATACCAAATGTCGGTAGGTACCGCATCGACGCACATATACGCCATACAAAGTCACGTCACCGGAGCTTGAACACATTATGAACTACAAATATCAATTTTTAAGCAAATTGGTAGAAAAATGTGGCGAAACTCATTAATATACCGAATATCGGGTGGTACCGTTATATGGGGGCTATACCAAAAGGTGGAACTATACCTGCAATGTTTCGTCTGCAATGTTTCGGAGCTAGAATTCCAATAAAAATATAATGTAATAGAAAATGTGGCAAAAATCATGATAATGCTGAATATCGAGAGGTACTATACGAAAGCGTGGGTCTTTATACACTATGTTTCGCCACAATTGGACCTAGACCAATTATGACCTACACATACCAATTTTCATACAAATCCGTGAGGAAGTGTCTAAAAAATCATAAAAATAACGATTATCGGGAGTTACCGTTATATGGGGTCTATACCAAAACGTGAACCGATATATCTCCTTTTCAATAAGTTGACTAAGAATTTTATGCTGATTATGAATATATATATATTCTATGGGGTCTACGACGAATATTTAGGGATGTTACAAACGGAATGACAAAGTTAATATTTCCTCCTTTCCATTGTGGAGGGTTTAAGAATGGATACATCATTGTGAAAACAGCTGAATTGGAAGTACCTATTGATAACGATTGCCATTGCCCTACTATTAACATAAATAATACAGAACAACAATTTGAAAATTTATTAGAACAAACCAGACAGTTTGATTTTTCACCACAATTGAAAATGTTAGTCGAAAAATTAAAAGAGGAAATGAAAGGTATTTGAAACACTAATCGTAATAAGAGGGAAAGATATAATACAAAATACAATACAAAACAAATTATCATTTCAGCCGGGTTGAACTTTTAATGCTCTCCAAATACGCTTTTAATTCCCTCCTCTTAGTTCCGTGTTCACCTTTAAACCACAAATACCTGTAAGACCGTTTGAATAATTCAGTTAAATTAAAATAAACACATGTAAAAAAGCTGTAAGTTCGACCGGGCTGAACTTAAAAAAAAAATAAATAAAATAAAATCCTTAGAAAATTCTGTTAAAATCTTAAAAATGCCGAATTAAGCCATTATATTAGTGTCTATTCTACGTCGTAGACCTTTTGTCACAAGTCATTATAAAATTCAAATGCGAAACGAAATGTAGCTAAAATTACCAAAATACCGAATATAGGGAGGGACAGTTATACGGGGGCAATACGAAGACGCGAACCTGCACAGACAATTTTCTGGAATACGCTGTAGTATCCATCACGAATTTCAAATACCAAATTTGAAACAATTCCGGTGAATAATGTCGCTAAAATCATCTAAATACCGAACATCGGGAGATACCGTTATATGGGGTATATACGAAGATAGATTTTGTTTTTTTGTGGAAATGTATTATGTTTCCAAATCGCAAATAAAATATCAAAGGAAAAATAGAAAGCTGCCTTCGAGAGGTTAAAACGTTAATAATGTGTGACCCCATTTTTATTTGCCCGGATTTTAGTAAGGAATTTAATTTACTACTGACACAAGTAACATGACAATCGGCGCTGTTCTCTCTCAGGGTCAGAAACATATCCATATGTTATACAAGCCGAATTGCATTTGAAAAAAAACAACTCGCAATTCTTTGGGCCACTAAATATTTTAGGTCCTATCTGCTTGGTAGAAAGTTCGAGATCTTTAGCGATCACATACCCCTTGTTTGGTTAGATAATATAAAAGAACATAATATGAAATTGCAGAGGTGAAACATTAGGCTAACATTGGAGCGTAATAATTCTTTTATTTTTAAGTTTTTTATTGGTTTACTTTTTATTTAATTTTCATAACGTAAATATAGTTAATCTTCATGAATTCCCATAGTTGCAGATTGTAGTATGTAAATAGCATGTAAGATTAAATGAAGTTACATGTAAAGAAAGAATATAGAATAGGATAACGAAAAATAAAATTGAATTCAATTGTTGTACTTACCGCCGTTTAACCGCATCGTATTCGACTTCTTTACCAGACCAAAAATCCCGAAACCCGGGATCTAAGTGTCGGTTGTTTTGTTAAATTGATTTAAAACTAATTTGCTAAATTGATGCAATTAACAAGAAGAAGAACAGTAAAATTTCTTTTGAAAAACTATTTATACTATGAATAATATACCTGTGGTGATCTATTCTGTTACTGCTTTCGTGCCATGCATCCAGATGTCCCGTTTCTGTCATTGCCGTCTTTGTAGGAGCAAGCACAACAATCAGGAAAGTGATTCTGATTCCCATGTAACAGCGTTGAACATAATTTGTGTTAATCATAACCTGTTAGATACTCAGTGTTAGAGAATTTGTAATTTATTCAAATTTTGTTGAGATTTTTGCTCAATTCACACAAATTATTTTTCTATGTTTCACTATTTCAAATAAAATACATTTTGTAAATCGCTTGGTTATAAACATTCGCGGCTAAATAAAACAAACTTAATAATTACCTTCAAATTAAGTTTCTTTTTCTTCTCTCATTCCGCTTTGCATTTTGCTTGTCAGCCATTCCAATTGTTTTTGTTGTCTTTATTGCACACTATTCCGCGTTTGAATTCCTATTACGCGAGAGAACTTTAATTAACAAACAATTAAAAAAGCTGTAAGTTCAGCCGGGCCGAACTTTGAATACCCTCCACCATTTGGTACAAATTTAACAATTTTCAAAAAAATAAAATCCCTTAAAAATCTGTTAAAATCTTGAAAATACCTAATTTAGCCGTATATTAGAGTCTATACGACGTAGACCTACATGGCCCATTTTCAATACCAAAAGTGCTGCAGACATAGTACACATTTGAGTAAAATTTTATCAACCTACTTCATTTCGTTCGAAAGCTAGAGTGATTTCCACAGTTGGACAGACGGACGGACATTTATAAATCGACATAGAATTTTATGCTGATCAAGAATATATATACTTTGTGGGGTCTAAAATGTATATTTCGAGGTGTTACAAACGGAATGACATACTTAATATACCCTCCATATTATGGTGGAGGGTATAAAAATATCCATTTAATTTTTTTGGTTATTTTGCATGTTCACAAATTATTTAATTTATACTTTTAATTTGTTACATTTTCCATTAAATTCACATTATTTCTTTGTGTTGATTTTAACTTCATTAGTGCCACATACTTTGTGAGTAATTGAGTACCCATCCCCGGTTATTCAATTTGATTAATTGTGTTATCGGTTATCGATATACACAAAATACTTAATGGTGCCTTAGACTACGAAATTTTACAGAATTTCTAAATTATTGAAATTCTTTTTGTGTCTTCAATTGCTGGACCAAAATTAATTAATTGAGGTGGTAAAAAATATACTATTTTAGAGCTGATACTATATTTTCATTGAAAAGCGAGAGCTTATTTGATAATAAACTTAACATATTACCTACCTTCAATAAATATTAAAGTGCTTCTTGTTGCTTAAATCTCATTTAAACTTCTTGATTTATATTAAAATTGCTGGTGGTAAGAAACACCAAAGTAATCCTGATACGGAAATAGCCAATTAAAAGCAGCCAGAGGAAAAAATAATAAAAAATATTGAAAGAATCAAGACTTCTTTCCGAGAAAAGAAAATTTCCTTCAATTCATTTGAATTTGAATGTCGATTAGACATTTTAAACAAATATATTGATGAGGCAAAGCATTTACAATCCGAACTAGATATTCTAGATCCCAATAATGGTGATCGTGGTGAACTGGAAGACTTATGTGTGTCGACAAAGTCCCTATTTTTAGAAAGTTCATTTAAAAATAGGAGGAGTAGTATGCCTGAGACTTCTTTCTGTGATCAATCGCATCAATCTAGACTGCCAAACATGAAACTCCCTAAATTCAGTGGAAAATATTCCGAATATAAAAATTGTATAAGTCTCTCGAAAACTTGGTTCACACAAATTCGATATTGAGAGACATAGAAGAATTTAACCATTTGATTTCATGCTTATCCGATGAAGCTCTTGGTACCCTAAAGGCTTTTCAGATTTTTGAAGAAAATTACCCCAAGGCATTAGTTAGTTTAAAAAAGGTTTACGGCAATGATTGTCTTACATATTTTGATAATATTGCCAAACTTTTTGATCTTCCTGAGATCACCAAACCTTCGGCTTCTGCTTTGCGAAGCATGATCGACACTGTTTCTGCCATATACGATTCATTGTTGTCAATTGGTGATGAGATGAAAGATAACGAATGCCATATTGATACATTTAGTTATGTCAGAGGTCGATCCGATCACTAAATCCAAATGGGAAGAACAGCTTGACTTCGATAAGCTCCCATTATGGTCTGATTGCGAGGCTGCATTAAATAAGAGATACCAGCATATTTCTGCTGAAGAATCTTTTGGAGCTAGACCAACGATTTAAATTTATTAAAGCCGTCCCTGCCTGCATTAATTGTTTGAGAAAAGGTCATACTGTGGCCAAATGCAATTCAGGAGTGAAATGTAGAGTATGTAGTGGTGCACACCATTTCTAACTTCATCGATACGCTTGTGATAACTCAAATTCAAATCTGTATCAAGAGCAGCACTCTACTTCCAGTGCTTCGGTCAACCATTTGGCGTCGAGTGAAGGCGTTATTCTGGTCACAGCACTAGTCCAAGTGAGAAGTAGTTCTGGGAAATATATTTTGGCTAGAGCTCTTTTAGATTCCGGTTCTCAACCTAATTTGGTTACTGAGGACCTGGTACAGAGGCTTAAGGTAAAACGAGAAAGTGGCAGATTAAATATATCTTGCATTTCTGAGATATCATCTTTCTCAAATAGTGTCCAATTGTCTGTGATGTCGAGACCCAATTCAACTCAATTTTCATCCAAGTTCTGGGTATTGAGTTCTATTACGAATATTCAGCCTGATAAGAAAATATCTGTTTCTGAATGGAACATTCCCAAAAATATTGAACTGGCTGGCCCTAATTTTAATGAACCTCGAAAAGTTGATTTATTAATTGGCGCTGAAGTTTTCTTCGAACTTCTTTGTGTTGGCCAAATCAAACCCAACCCAAGTCTTCCAATATTACAAAAAACTTCGCTTGGCTGGATCGTAGCTGCAAAATACGATGAGTCAAAGGGGTCCACTTCAAGTGTAGGCCATTTAAAAAGCTCAATAGAGAATAGTGAAATGATTAATGCAATTGTTAGAAAATTCTGGGTTCGTTAAAGATTTGGTCTGATGAGCAAACTAAGTGTGAGGAACATTTCCAAAAGTATGTGCGACGTTTACCATCAGGACGCTTTCAAGTGCAAAAAGGCAGTTTCTCTCTTTAGAAAGGAGACTTTACCGTGACAACACATCTAAGGAAATCTATAATTCCTTCATGAAAAAGTATCTTGACTAAGATCATATGGAAATTAAAAATAATATAGTTCCATATAAACCACATTACTTCATTTCATATCAATGTGTTTTCCGACCGCAAAGTACAACTACGAAACTTCGCGTCGTTTTTGATGCTTCGAGCAAGACTTCTTCCCATGTTTCGCTCAACGATCTCTTAATCGTTGGTCCAACCTTTCAAGAGGAGTTGTACTCCACTCTACTTCGTTTCCGTTTACATAAATATGTGATTACTGCAGATATTGAGAATATGTACCGTCAAGTTTTACTAGACGAGAAAGATAAAGATTTTCATTTAATCCTTTGGAGAGCTAAAGATAGTCATCCTTTACAAATCTTCCAATTGAAAACGGTTACTTTGGTACATCTTGGATTCTCAGACGCTTCGATGGGAGGATATGGCTGCTGCTTTTATGTTCGTTCGCTTTGGATCCCCGTGGAGTTTCTTGTCGGCTTTTAACAGCCAAATCCAAAGCAGCGCCGCTCAAAACAATGTCCGAGATTGGAGCTATCAGTAACACATTTAATGGCAAACCTGTGGTTATGAATTAAACCAATGATGAACTTTGAAGTTGAAAATGTTTATTTCTGGTCCGATTCCGAAATTATTCTGTATTGGTTAAAAACCCATCCTTCAACACTGGCCACTTTCGTCTCGAATAGGGTTGCAGAAATTCAAGAGTGGTCAGAGAACGGTACTTGGCGCCATGTGCCCACCAAACAAAATCCAGCCGACATGGTGTCGAGAGGATGCAGTGTTGAAGTACTTAAATCTTCAATATGGTTCGAAGGACCCAAATTTCTATTAAACGATGTGTCTAAGTGACCAGTCAGTAAACATTTTGAGTTGACTGAGGAGCAAAAAACAATGGAAGAAAGAAAATCCAAAGTTTTAGTCACTGTAGATAGTAAGACAGATAAGGAATGTTTTGATAGCATTCTTTTGAAATTAATAAATTATCATTCTTCTTATAAGAGGCTTCTTAGAGTGGTCTCATATATGTTCCGATTCGTTGATCGAGTTAAGAAGCGAAAGATTCCAAATTCTATCTGTCTGACAGCTTAAGAATTGAATTGTTCTTTCCTAAAATTGGTCGAGGTGATTCAAAGATCCAGTTTTTCAGAGGATATTTCTAAAATAAAGAAATCTGTCTTCCTAAAATCTAATCTTCAAAAATTAACGTCATTTATACACTATTTCTCTGAGTGTAAAAGAAAATTTTCTCTTTTAAGAGTAGGTGGAAGGTGTTTAATGCGAAGTTACCACATAATACGAAATTTTTCCCTTTTACTCTCAAAAAAACGTCATTTTGTTTGAGAGATTTACATTTCAAAAATTGTCAAAGGCCTTAGTACCATTATCCCGTGAACGAATATGGCTAATAAATGCCCGTGATGAATGTAATAGGATGGCTCGGAATTATGTTCATTGCTACCGATATAAACCAAAGCTGATAAGCCAAATTTACCCTCTGATAGAGTGAGAGCCTTATGTCCTTTCTTCATATTAGGCGTAGACTTTTGTGGTCCCGTTGATATCACGTTGAAGATACGCGGGAGACCACCAACAAAAATGTATATTGCGGTCTTCGTTTGTTTCAGGTCCAAAGCGGTTCACCTCGAATTAGTATCAGATTTGCCGTAAAAGGTTTGCCGCAAGGCGTGGTCTCCCATGGAAGATATGGTGCGACAATGCGACAAATTTCGTCGGGGGCCAGCCGAGAGTTAGGGGAACTGCAAGAGGGCTTCCTAGCAAGCCGTGGAGGAATACGCAGCCTCGTGCAGCGTGCAGTTCATCTTTATTCCTCCGTGGACTCCTCATTTCGGGGGCATGTGGGAAGCAGCCGTATAACAGGAAAAAGTTCCTGCTTCTTCGAGCTGTCGGCAAAGTGTTGCTGACGCAAGAAGAGATGGTGACGATGCTCGCAGAGGTAGAGGCGGTCCTAACCAGTCGTCCCATAGCCCCGCTGTCTTCAGATCTCAACGACGAGGAAGCTTTGACACCAGGGCATCTATTAGTCGGAGCGGGTCTGCGTTCGCTGCTGCCAGAATTCGTTGACGAAGACAGCGTCAGCAAGGTGAGGTTCTCCAAGCGTTGGCAGATGCTCTGCGCTCTCAAGCAGTGGTTCTGGCGGGCCTGGTCAATGAATTATATCCTAAAGTTGCAGGACAAGGCGAAGTGGAGTCATCGTCAGGCCAATCTGTAGGTCGGACGTATGGTTCTGGTCCACGAGGACAATCTATCATCTCAGGAGTGGCTCACAGGCAGAGTCGACAACGTCACCGAGGGTCCCGACGGAAAAGTAAGAGTAGTGGAGGTCCGGACAAAGGGCATTTATAAGAGGCCGATTACAAAGCTAGCTCCACTGCCAATTGTTTGAAGTCCTGCTGTCATTCAATGGGGCCGGAATGTTGGAGCGTAATAATTCTTTTATTTTTCTTTTATTTTTGAATTTAAATTTATTTTTTTTTTATTGGTTTCTTATTTTTACGTTTTTATTTAATTTTTCATAATGTAAATATAGTTAATTTTCATGAATTCCCATAGTTGCAGATTGTAGTAAATAAATAGTATGTAAATGGTATGTAAGATCAAATTAAGTTAGCTGTAAAGAAAGAAAATAGAATTAGGATAAAGAAACATAAAATTGAATTCAGTTGTTGTACTTTCCGCCATTTAACCGCATCGCCTTCGACTTCTAAACCAAATTAAAATTCATAAAACATTGAAGATAACTTGTG